AGACCCTACCCAAATTCATACTTGATCTGAGTTTTGTGGAAACAAGCATTGTGTATAAGATTCATAACATTTAGCATTGTTTAGTTGAGGCAAACTTAAGTAAGAGAACGGAAACGAAAAATTCAGCAATTTTTCAATATGTAAAGGGGCATAACTCTAGAAAGGTAAAAGTGACATCACCTAAATTCAAACTTGATCTTTGTTTTGTGGTAATAAGCTTTGTGTATTAGCTTCATAAAATTTGGTTGAGGCAAACTAAAGTTAGGGAACAGCAATTTTTCCATTTGTAAAGGGGCATAACTCAAGAAAGGTAAAAGTGACGTCACCCAAATTCAATTTTGATTTGTGTTTAGTGGTAATAAGCATTGTGTATAAGTTTCATAACATTTGTTAAGGCAAACTAAAGTTTAGTTAGAGAATGGAAACAAAAAATTCAGCAATTTTTCCATTTGTAAATGGGCATAACTCTAGAACGGTTAAAGGGACGCCACCAAAATTCAATCTTGATCTGTGTTTTGTGGTAATAGGCATTGTGTATAAGTTTCATAACATTTGGTTGAGGCAAACTAAAGTTAGAGAACGGAAACCAACTTTGGGATGTACGGATGTACAGACGGACAAGGGTAAAACTTAATGCCCCCTCCGCTAAAGCGGGGCATAAAAACAGAAACCAATTACGGGACATACAGACAGACAAGGGTTAAACTTAATGCCCCCTCCACTACAGCGGGGGCATAAAAAATAAAGTCTCTCACTCTGTGAAACTTAGAATACCGTTCCAAAAACAACTGAACCGTAGGAAATCTATAATTTATATTTCACTAAGTAGGATATTTATATTCTTAAAAAAGGAAATATATGTGGTAGAGTTAAAATCTCTTTACATGACAATGTTAGTCAGCATAAATAATTATATAAATATCATATGCGTCCATGCAAATGAGAATAAGAAAGGGGATATAATTCTTCCCTTACCATTTAAGATACAGAACTTTCTCATTTTAATTCTTACATATCCCCCACCATCTACAGTTGATACCTGAACAGTAAAAAAAGGCTGGAGCCTAGAGGTTACATTTAGGAAATTTTAGTAAACAATTTTTACCACAATGATAGTAACATTTTCAAACCACCAAACATATTACTGTAAATTCATAGATTTTTATGTGCATTATATATAACTATTGCTATTGTTCATTGTTGTTGAATAAGGGTCAAAATCCACATGGATTCATTATTGCCATTTCAAGAATTTTGCATACAAATATAAATGCTATAAATATTCAAAAAGAGTGTTTATTTTAAATTTGGCAAAACCTATCCCCTTTGCAATTCCAAAATCATCACAGGCATTTCTTCAACTCAAAACAGCAAATTACAATGAAAAGACTTTTGAGACAATATGTCTGAAATATGATTCTGAGAGTAATTTGTAATCACCTTCAAGAGGGTAGGAATGCCCTTTATCGTCAAATGGTCATTTTCAGCTACCATTAGCGTCAACTTGGTTAAAATTTTATCGTGATTCGTCACAATATCCTTATCAGAGGTCTCAAATAATTATCCCTTATTGTTATTTTTGAAAAGAATTTAACGTGATTCGTCAAAATCAGTCAATTTTTTTATCATCATAAAGAAAATGTACATTTTATATAGTCATGCACCAAAAATTACCGTTAACGTCATTTCGCAAGATTTTTTACCGTCATTCGTCATGAAAGTACCCCTATTAAGACTCTCCTTCAAGAGAGTTATATTTTCAAAATTTAAGTATTGATTGTGGATAATCATATAATATAATTAATGTCTTTGGTAAAGAAATGGAATCGGTTTCTAAAATGATTAAGTGAAAAATATTGATAATGTCTGAGGTTAATTTATAAACAGATTTGGCAGGAAAGCTTACACCATAATTTAATCAATATCTGGTTTATCATATATTTATCAAATTGATCAAAACCAATTTATATGCATGAAGAGGGTGGTAAAGGGGGGTGCTTGCACGGAAAAAACGTGAAATAAGACATAATTTCACGTTGAACGTGAAATAATTTCTGTCATGAACATTGCACGAAAAATAAAGACTTTGATGTGAACCTTTTGTGATTGAGTCACTGTCTTCTTGTATATATAAACTCTCTGTTTTACTTGTTATTCCTGATTTAGTATAGACATTTATGATATAAATGGTTTACCACGTTTAAAAAAGTATTTCTTGACGATCCGTGCCAAGTGTTTGAATTTTATTTGAAAAATACGGAGAAAAGCAAAATAAGCATTTGAAAATCACGATGCACGTAAAATTAAATAAGCAGAACACGTTGAACGAGGCACCTGTCTTGCACGACTGAACGTCAAATAAAAAAGTAAAAACATGTTGAACGTGAAATAAAAAACGGCGATCACGTTGCACGTAAATAACCCTTTACCACCCTCCATGAAGATTCTACCATATACCCCTGCAAGTTACAATATCTATCCATCGAAATAGTCAAGTTTTTAAATGGTAAATATAATTGTACTAAATGGGTTACATGGTAGAATCTGTTTCTCTAATGATTAAATTGAAATTGCTGATTGCACTGTTCCAAATGGATATGGCCAGGAATTATACAAGACATATCCAATGAATGTGTGGTTTATCAAAAGGAGAAGGTCTGGTAAGGGCCAATATTGTCCTAAAACTTCAGATACATCTGATGAAAGATTTTAGACACTTTTTAACCACACAAGTGTCTACTTCAGTCAATTCAATTAGTTTATGTGAAAGATTTGAACTGATTTGGTCATTAATGACGCTCAAATTCAAGCTTAAATATGAAAAATCTATCAAATAAGCCATAAAATGTCACTTTTCAGATGGTTTTTGTCTAAAATGGAAGTGGCCACATTCGTGTTCACTCTCAACATTTATATATGTTATGTATTATTATCAAATACAACATACATTTAAATATTAAGACTGAACACAAATGCGGCCACTTCCATTTCAGACGGAAACAGTCTAAAAATTAGCACAAATACTAAAATTGTGAAGATTTCAGTAATTTTGCATGAATTAATGATGCTAGTACCCGATACATGTGCATTGTATTGTCAAAAACAGCCCATATTTATGTAAAAGAAGTATTCTACTTTCCAATAAATAGCTAAAAGTTTACATTTTAACAAATTTGTAAAACTGCTATATTTTGGGGCCAAAAAGGGGTCTTACTGGGCCTACTCCTTTATCAAACTATTCAGAAACTGTATATATGCATACAGAATTAGAAACAATATAAGTAGTAAACACCTGCGGTAGAATCCATGCTAAAAACAGTCCCAAACATTCTAAACTAACTGACATGCCGTTTACCAGCGGAAGGATCCATGCAAAAGACAGTCCCAAACCTTCCAATTAACTGACATGCGGTTTTTCATGCACAATTTTAACAATTCTTACCACATATACAGACTGTCATTAATTTTCATACCTTCAAGTAAATTATTTATCAAATAAGTCATGAAGAGTACATAGCATAGCCTAAAAAGAAGTTTCAGTGTAAAACTGTAATTTAGTGTAAAGTATACTATAGTACATTCCCGGATAAATCATATTTCTGCAAAGTCAACAAGCCCAGTTACGGTAGGATTCAGCAATCTGAATAAGTTAATGAAACTAACTATCCCAACCACACAATCTCAAAAGTTGTATTTTTGTCTAGCTTATAGTTTTCTGACTACATCATGATTAGGTTTTAGATTTGACAACATTAGCAATGATTCAACAAAAGACTTTGTCATCAACCATAATGTTTGGCAGCTCTGTAACTCATGGCGAAGACCTGTTCAGACATTGACTCATGAGTAAGTCATGACTATTTCTAATAAACAAACTTACTTTTTGGCAGATATATAACTCATGGCTAAGACTTGTTCACACTTTGGCTCATGAGTAACAGTGACTAGTTCTAATAAACAAAATCACTTCTTGGCAGATATATGACTCATGGCTAAAAATTGCTAGGACTTTGGCCCATGAGTAACAGTGACTTGTTTTTAATGAACAAAATTACTTTTTGGAAGATATATAACTCATGGTTCTGACTTATTCCAACATATGGCTCATGACTTGTTTTAATCAACAAACTTACTTTTTGACTGATATATTACTCATGGCAAAGACTTGTTCAGACTTTGGATCACAAGTAAGAGTGACTAGTCCTAATAAACAAACTTACTTTTTGGCAGATATGTAACTCATGGCAAAGACTTGTTCACACTTTGGCTCATGAGTAATAGTGAATAGTTCTAATAAACAAAATCACTTTTTGGCAGATATATGACTCATGGCTAAGAATTGCTAAGACTTTGGCCCATGAGTGACAGTGACTTGTTTTTAATGAACAAAGTTACTTTTTGGAAGATATATAACTCATGGTTCTCACTTAAGTATTCCAACATTGGCTCATGACTTGTTTTAATCAACAAACTTACTTTTTGACTGATATATTACTCATGGCAAAGACTTGTTCAGACTTTGGCTCACAAGTAACAGTGACTAGTCCTAATAAACAAACTTACTTTTTGGCAGATATTTAACTGATGGCAAAGACTTGTTCAGTCTTTGGCTCATGAGTAACAGTGACTAGTTCTAACCAAAAAACTTACTTTTTGGCAGATATGTAACTCATGGCAAAGACTATTTCAGTCTTTGGCTCATGAGTAACAGTGATTGTCCTAATAAACAAACTTACTTTTTGGCAGATATGTATTACCTCATGGCAAAGACTTGTTCAGTCTTTGGCTGATGAGTAACAGTGACTAGTTCTAACCTACAAACTTACTTTTTGGCAGATATGTAACTCATGGCAAAGACTATTTCAGTCTTTGGCTCATGAGTAACAGTGACTAGTTCTAACCAACAAACTTACTTTTTGGCAGATATGTAACTCATGGCAAAGACTTGTTCAGATTTTAGCTCATGAGTAACAGTGACTTGTTCTAATAAACAAACTTACTTTTTGGCAGATATGTAACTCATGGCAAAGACTTGTTCAGTCTTTGGCTCATGAGTAACAGTGACTAGAGTTTTATCAACATAGGCTGGCCTTTGCCTCTCTTCTACTTCCTCTTTATGCTTTGTATCTTCTTTCTTTCTTGTCTCTTCAACAGCTCTTTTTCTGCAATTGAATAAAAGGATAAAAAAAATAGTTTTCTGTGAAAATATTTTGTTTTGTCTATAAATACAACTTTTTCAGACAACCAAAAAAATCCCTGGATGTAAGTTTTTAACTGATACATTGGAAACTCATCTTATGGCATATGATCATAAATTTCAAAATTTGCTTGAACAGAATTCTGATGCCATAACATTTGCAAAAATTAAATTCAAACTGTATTCTTTATCCTGCAATCAGCCAACTTTTGCACAAATAACAGGTACACCAATAAATTATCCTGTCACCCCGCTTCCATGTTGATCAATGGTAATGAGGATATTTCTTTTTGCGTAACAGTTCATTTTGGGGTCCTCTTCCCAGTCTGCATTTAAACTATGTTGGTTTCTTTGAAAAATCAGAGACAAAGATTTGGATATAAACAACTAATGTTTTAGGTTTTGGGTGCAAATTACAGGTTAAAAGCAATATATGTTCATTGTCAGAAATATAAAATGTATTTGTACTAGCTACGATACATGAGAAAAGATCTGCAAGCCTCGCTTTTCCTCCTGTTTCTAAAGCTAGTACAAATTAATTTTTTATTTCATTTAGAATTGCAGTAGTGTTCAAATTTATGATTGTGAGTCATAAATTTTCTGGAAAACAAGAGATAAATGCTTGGTTCCTGTCTTACTCATACCAATATTTCTTTATAATAGACCAATTTCAAATTCCTTTATATGAATGTATTTTAAAAGAAGTCATTTTTCATTTTGTGTAAATGACTTCATTGTACACTGATTCTTACTATGATGTAATAACATAAGCATTGTGACATTGAAAATGTAAGCAAAAATGAATTAATTTGAAAGTCCTCTACCATATAAAAATAAGATGTGGTATGATTGCAAATGAGACAACTCTCCACAAGAGACCAAACAACACAAAATTAACAACTATAGGTCACTGTACGGCCTGCAACAATGAGCAATGTCCACAATGCATAGTCAGCTATAAGAGGCCCCGAAATGACAAATGTAAAACAATTCAAACGAGAAAACTAACGGCCTAATTTATGTACAAAATAATGAACAAAAAACAAATATGTTACACAGAAACAAACGACAACCACTGAATTATCAAAATCATGTCTATTAATATCAAAAGTATAATAACCTTGCAGCTTCTTTCTTCAGCTGTTCATGCTTCATCAGCAATCGCTTTCTTTCTGTGAAAGTTTTCCTGACACGGAATCCTCTGAATGCGGACTAAAAAATACAGCATATTAACAATTATTGGTGACTTTTATCCCAAATGCAATTTGCAGTATTAAGTTCAAAGACACATAAATAAATAACAACCAGAGTAACTGTCAGAGTAACTGTCAGAGTAACTGTCACATCTTTAGTAATATAATCCTACAATGATTAGAATTAATCAAAATTCACATTTTATTCCAATGTCAAATTTTAAATTTTTACAACTTCCCAAAGAACTTTCTAAATGAAAGATAAATAATAATCAAAGACTATTTTTTACACCAGGAATAATAAAAAAGAAAGCCTCATAAATTGCAGTATCCAAGTTATGAAATTTTTGTTATAAAAAATTTCCTACTTTCAACCATCATAAATTATTGACTTTACTACTTATAAATCTGATCTACAAATCTTTCATTTTTTTCCCTTTTTATTGGTACTTAATTTTACAACAAGACAAGGACAAGAGTATAAAAAAAGATTGATTCATCATAGGACAGTAATCTCCACTAATAAAAAATAGAACTCTTAATTTGATTGCACTGTACTGTAAAAACTGAATCAATCATTAATTACAAATGAAGACATTCATATGTCATATACACAAATTTTACATTAAAAAGGGAAAATCCATGGATTGTTTAAATAAAGGACACTTCAGATTTTAATCACATATTTAGACATTTTTATTGTGTCATTAGCTCAATATTTCGACATTAAAGTCATCATCGATGATCAAATACTGGAAAACTTCATAAATCATTGACTTTTTAAAAAAACAAAATGTTTTTTCTTCTTTTTATTAGAAACCTAAGGTAATTCATAGTTTTTCAGGAAGTTATTAAGCAGCTCTCATTATAGAAGATATAAGAGCATTCTAAAAGCTGCTTCCTTTTAAATTAGAGAGATTTTAAGTTTTGAAAACATGACAAAAGGAGATAAAAGGACAGCCTTGGCAGATCTGAAAGCACTTCAGTCCTACATTGATTTTGTCTTTGACTTTATCTAGTTTCGACGGAAGACAAAAAACATCAACTTTTTAACAATATAATCTTAACACCTTTAAGTGATCAAAGAACTTAAAATCAACAGCTCCTGATAGCTTATAATGAATTATACTTCAAACTTCAATTCTTTTAATGGTGGTGCAAACAAGGGGAGATGACTCTAATTTATCTAGTTTCAATGGAACACTCAATACTTTTTATTTTAGTTTCTATCAACAGAATGTGAATCCATTTAGTGATCAATGAAATTTAAATCAAAAATACAATCTGAACACTTTTAAGTGATCAAAGAACTTTTAAAAATCAACAGCTCTTAAGGTGGATGGGGGGTCTTAATCAAAATCCATAGAATTTTTTAATAATTTGTCAAAATGTAGTTTTTATCATGCTTTTTTCCAAAATATAATAAAAAGTATGGGTCACCGGACTTGTTTTTTCACGCTACAGGTTGTGCAAAACTGTCAGATTTTGTATAGATTATGCATGGAAAATCCAATTTTTTTAGATAAAAAGAAAACTACACCATAGAATTTTAAGATAAAATGTGAGAAGATAGCTCTTATAACATGCTTTCAGATAAGAAAAAGAAAAAATGGGGTCACCGGACTTGTTTTCTTGCTAAATATTAAAATAGGTAAATTCTTTTTTAAACACTTTCTATTATAAAAATTCTTTATCTGAGTTATCTCCCCTACTATCTGAGTTATCTCCCCTTATGTGGCAAAATTGAAAAAAAATAAATCAAACAAAAATAGTTAGTTTTTTTTAGAAAAAAACAGCCGTAAATATGATAAAACACATTATTTTCTATATTAAAACGAAAATTCTTATACATGAATTACACACTACTCTCAAAATTTGCACATATCATTAAAGATCTAGACCAATTGTTATCTGCTACTTCAAAATCCAAGATGGAGGAAGACACCCCAACCACCTTAACAGATTATAATGAAAAATATTTCAGGAATCAATTTTTTTAAATGGTTCTGCAAACAAGGGGAGATGACTCTAACTTACCTAGTTTCAATGAAAGACAATTATCAGAATTTATTTACTGTTTAAAAGAAATTCAAACAACAGCTCCTAACAGATTACGATTAATTATGCTTCATATTTTAAGTTTTTTTCATGGTTCTGCAAAAAAAAATCAACTTATCTAGTTTCATTGGACAGTCAGGGATATAACTCTATAGGGTTATTACAGAAAAATAACATACATTTGTTATTGTGGACTAAAAAATCAAAGAACTATGATAACATATGTATGTTACATGTTTCAAAGGGACAATATACATCACTAGTTTAGTTAAAATGCATACAAGTTCTATTGATATTACTATTGTCTTTATGTATACTTAACTATAGAAAGATATAACAGTTCATAGTTTGCCAATTTTGCATAGTACACCTATATGTTATTACAGAAAAAATATGTCTGTAATAACTAAAGGGTGTTATCACAACTTCTCCTTATCACTCCAAAGCATTTTCTCAGACATACATCATGCTTAATTACAATGTATTTTAATTTATTGTATGAAATAATGACCAGAGCATGTTATGAGGTTCTGCGCAAGCTTCCCAGTAATTCCCAAGTGTCTCATATAATAGGTTACATTCCTTTAATAACTAAGCTATGTTATTACAGCTAATTTTATCCCTTAAAAGCATTGTCTCATTGATTTACCATGGTTAATCAAAAATGTATTAGTATAATTAAAAAATTATTATCAAGGCTATGCATTCAGTTTCTGCGCAAAGTCTCAAGAGTTCCCTAGAGCCCATTATAAATTAAAGTATTTTTGATTTATTTTACAAATAACAAACATATGTTATTGCAGATTTAGAAAATTTAAGGAATAAAGAGTAGACAACTCATGAAAGTATCTGTAATAACACACACAAGTTATTTTCTGTAATAACCCTATAGAGTTATATCTCTGACTGTTGGAAGACATAAACACTGAGTCAATATATTTTATTTTAGTTTCTATCAACTTTATGTGAATCCATTTAGTAATCAACAAAATTTAAATCAACAGCTCCTGACAGATACAATGAATTATACTTCAAATATTTTTATGGTTTTGCAAACACAAACAAGGGGAGATGACTCTAACTTATTCATTTTAAATGAAAGACAAAAAATAGTCAATACTTTTGATTTTTCTTTCTATCAATATTATCAGAATCAATTAACTGTTTGAAGAAATTAAAATCAACAGCTCCTGACAGATTATAATAAATTATACTAAACACTTTTTTATGATGGATCTACACATAAGGGGAGATCGACTCTAACTTATCTAGTTTCAATGGAAGACAAAATAGTGAAACTGCGAGCTACTGCTCACTGATGATATCCCCGCCGCAATTTTCAACTACTTGCATGTCATGTGTAAAATGATGTAAGTGTTTGGTAAACAGGAATTTGTTGAGTGATGAATCTGAATACGCATCACACGGTATAGCTGACTTATATAAACCCTGAAACCAAATTTCAGAAATCCTTATGTAGTTCCTCAGAAAGATGCGACGAAAAAAATATTCATGGGACTGACGGACGGATGGACGGACAGACAGAGGTAAAACATTATACCCCACTTTTTTTAAAGCGGGGTATAAAAACAATCAATATTTTTGATTTTACTCTCCATCAATATTATGGGAAATTATTTACTGTTCAAAGAAATCAAATCAACAGCTCCTGGCAGATTTTAATGAATTTAATTCACAATTCAATTTTTTTAATGGTTCTACGAACAAGAGAGAAGACTTTACCTTATCTAATATCAATGGAAGCCAAAAATGGTCAATACTTTTGATTTTACTTTCTTTCAATTTTATCTGAATCCATTTACTGACAGATTATACTTAATACAATAGCTCAAACTCCTGATTTTTTGTTACATTGTAAATATTTCACAAATTTATGGTCACCTTTTTATTTTAAGATTTAATCATCAATCAATAGGGAAAAGGTATTACCTGAATTTTCAGAGCTGCAATATCTTGAATACCCGTAATCGACAGTGCCCCCTGTTCAATCATATACTGGGCCACATCATGGTGCTCCCCCATCAAAGCATAATCCAATGGAGTGTACCTGTAAGGAAGGAAAATTTATTTTATCATAACAAAAATTCTAATATTAAAGATGTAACTAGAAATTCTAAAAAAAAAAAAGGATTTGTCTTACATGAGGAGATTTGTACAATAAATCAGATTTTGACATCTGTTGAAAATGGATACATGTCTTATATAGAGGAGTTAACATTTAACATACAAATAGGGAATTCTCCATAAAACATTCTACAAGTTGTATAGATGTTTAGGAAGTTACCAATAATCATCTTTTAACTACTGTAGAAGCATTATTTTTTGTGTGGTTTTGGTCTCTAAATTTGATTTCATGTGGAGTAATTTTTCATGATTTCCAGTATGTGAAGATTAAAATATCGTTGGGGTTTCAGTTTCATGAATTATTTCTATCCACAAAATTATTCTGATTCACAGACACTGCTTCAACAGCAAACAAATATTAGTTACTGACAGATTAGAACATAAACTGTTCACACAGAGATATGTCTCGCCTTTTTGTAATTTTGATAATTCAAATGTTGAAATTAAAATATTAATACTTTAACATGTAAGTTATGCAAATATTCAAAGTCAATGAACCATGACTGAAGGTACATGGCTAAACAATCTCCATGGAAATGAGGTGTGCCAATGCTAAAAAATCTGCATACCAAATACCATTGACCTATCAAAAGTCTTTCCCTTTAAACAAACCTAAACAAACATTAACTTGTAAACTATGTAAAAGTTTCAAAGTCATTGAACCATGATGAGGGGATGGGGCTATATAATCTCCATGGAAACGAGACTTGCAAATGCCAATAAATTTGCTTCCAAATATTAATGACTTAACATTATCGATTCATCCTAACCATACTAAATATCATTGACCAACTCTAGCTGTTCCCCATAAACTGACCTAATCACAAACTAATACATGTAAACTCAACAAAAGTTTCAAGTCAATAGACCATGACTGAGGGGGCAGGGCCAAATTATCTCCATGGAAATGAGATGTGTCAATGCTAATACAACTGCATACCATATATCATTGACCTACCACAAGTGGTTCACCATAAACTAGACCTAATCACAAACTAATACATTGTTGATGCAGACTCCGACGCCATGTCAACAACAGCATAACTATGTCTCGCTTTTTGACTCTTTCAAGGCGAGACAAAAACTGACCTAAAAAAAAACACTTCTTTGAATTTCCTTCGAGTTTAAACTTTTGCAAATCAAAAATTACTGACCTTGCTGTTTTGGTGATTGCTTGAAGTTATTTGTGTAAGCAACAAATGAAAATTTAAACTCTAATCACAGAAAAAAATATGGAATACTTGATAAATTGAAAATTTTCTTTCTGGAAATTGTAGAATTTGATTCACATTTTATGTCATGTATGTCAGTCCTAATTATAAAATTGCTGCTAGATATATCAACAAATGCCCATTCACATTATAAATAATAATCAAGCATCTGAGAACCAAACAATTAATTCTATATGACTTTTTTATTCTGTTTATTTGTCAAAGACAAAAATGTATTACCTATTCCATACAAACATGACAAAATAAACAATACTTTTTTCCCCAATTTTTTCAATCAGGATATGATACTTACAAATAAATACATTTTCTGATTGTCTTGTCTTTACTTTTACAAAATTTATTATTAATATTACTACCAATTTTATTTTGTTTTTATTTTTTTACTGTTTTTCTGTGTTTATTATTCTCTTAATTGTTGCAAATTGTTACATGATCTGAAACAAATAATAATTCCTGTTTACCGATCTTCAGTAAATTCCATGTGGTTAGGAAATGCTCTATACTCCATCAGAAGTTTTACAGCATCAAGATGACCTTTACTACAGGCCCAGTGTAGAGCTGTCATTCCCTGAAACACACAAAACAATATGTAACTTGAGTGCTATCACATGGTTTTTGTTGTTTTTTTTTCTTCAAACATTTAAACAAAACTTTATTGCCAAAATGCTGTATACTTTTACCAAGATTACAAATTTTGTCTGGGTACCTCTGTAATGAGTTACTGATCATGACTTTTCTGGGAATAATCATGTTTTTTCTTTCTCACAGATAAGCTAGATGGAAATCTCACAATTTCTGACTTAGAGTTATCTCTCTTTGTATGTCTTTACACTTCTATAACTTTAATTTCAGTGTCATAAAATTGACCCTGGTGTCAATTACAAAATCCTGCCCTCAATTTTAAAACTACAATGCAAAAATTTGAAACATTGTTGTCCTTTATAACTATAGTAATGTTACTATGAATCTCTTTGGTCGGGTTGTTGTCTCTATAGCACATTCCCCATTCTATTCTAAATTTTTAATACAAGACAGAGAATGCAACATAAATTGAAAAAAAAAACTTAAGCTGTTCTAGAATTACTTGTATGGGGTTAGAAGGCAATTCTATTAATATTTTATCAGTGGTGGCTAGTTGAATAAGGAATTAGGAAATAATCACTTAAAATGTTATACATGGTAAGGTAAAACCCATAGATTTTTTTAGGAACAGCCCTTAATTATAATCATCTATTGTTTAGGAATAAATAAAAGGAGATGTAGAGTATTCAACCAATAGGACAACTTGACAAACATTGCATGAAATTATAACGCTCCTCCAATTTTTTCCCCCAATTACAATCCAAAAACATTGGATAAAATTGAGAATGGAAATGGGGAATATGTCAAAGAGACAACCCGACCAAAGAGCAGACAATAGCCGAAGGCCACCAATGGGTCTTCAATGCAGCGAGAAAATCCCGTACCCGGAGGTGGTCCTCAGCTGGATGTCTGTTCAACAGTAATTCTTTAGTGAACTTTACAATTGACCAAACCTTGCAAAGAGAGCATTTAGTCATCATGAGAAAATAATCGAGAAACCCTTGAAAATCGATAAATACTTGAAGCTTGCTACGATTTGGTTGAATAGAGAACATTGTATTGATTGATAGTAAAATTCCCATCATATCCACATCAGACCAGTAACTCTTTTCCCCAAAAATACTTTTTTAAGTCATGAACATTTCAGTAGAATTTATAATAATATCTAATCACAAATATTTTTTTGTATGAAAAGAGCCAATTGTTCAAAAATACAGGATTAAACCACCAAAATTTTAATGGATGATAATGATTTGTGGAAACTATGGTTAAAATTTCTCTAATTAAGTATAATCAGCAAATTGAACAGCCTGTCAAAAAATAAAATACCTCATTGTCTTGATCATTAGGATCAGCTTTATGTTCCATTAAAACAGACATACAATTAACATAGCCACCATAAGCTGCACATTGTAGAGGTGTTCGTCTGAAGAAACAAAAAAAAAACAGATTTATCTATACATGGTAAATTCAGACACTTTTGCAATGGAATAGGTTTGACAATAAAAACTCACACTCTAAATTTTGATAGCATTATATCTATGCAGTATTTCATGATATTGCAATAATCAATCTTGCATTTGTGTCAATTGTTAACAATAATCAATCTTGCATTTGTGTCAATCGTCTGCAATAATCAATCTTGCATTTGTGTCAATTGTTAACAATAATCAATCTTGCATTTGTGTCAATTGTCTGCAATAATCAATCTTGTATTTGTGTCAATTGTCTGCAATAATCAATCTTGTATTTGTGTCAATTGTCTGCAATAATCAATCTTGCATTTGTGTCAATTGTCTGCAATAATCAATCTTGCATTTGTGTCAATTGTCTGCAATAATCAATCTTGCATTTGTGTCAATTGTCTGCAATAATCAATCTTGTATTTGTGTCAATTGTCTGCAATAATCAATCTTGCATTTGTGTCAATTGTCTGCAATAATCAATCTTGTATTTGTGTCAATTGTCTGCAATAATCAATCTTGTATTTGTGTCAATTGTCTGCAATAATCAATCTTGTATTGTGTCAATTGTTCAACAATCACAATAATAAAAGCATGTAAAAATTTCAGAATTTAAAGTACTAAAGGTAATTTGTCCTGTGAAATTAGATGTAGTAAATATATTCTGTGCACTAAAAGTGTATTTCAAAAGGAAGTCTTTTTCATTTTATATGCCATGTACAAATAAAATTTACACCAGTGCAAAATGTTTTGGCAGAAATTTTGGCTATGAATAGAATAACTCAAAATTTTTGTAAACCTGTTTATCTCCAAAACATCATTCACAGTTTTTACAAAAGTATATTGTTTCATCACAAAGATTTTATACAGATTAAGCAATATATTACTGTAAAATTTAGAAATTAATTCATTATTGCAAATCCTTGACTTCTAGAAAAAATGTGGAATCTAATTAATGCAATTGTGTGCAAAAATTTTATGAAGGAAAATCACTGCTGAAATTATGAACATGATGAATGAAAGTTTTTATTATTGCAAAACCTATTACTGTCACTTTTTTGGCATTAATAAATACATCGCAATGGTTTCTAAATTTACAGTACTTAGAAGTACTGTAAATTCAGAAATTATTGCGATGTTTTTATTATCGGAAAAACGCGAAAGGGTTATAATCACAATAGTTTAAACTCGCATTTTGAAATTTTTTGTGTATATTAAACAGGATTTTTCTCAATATCGCAAAAACTAAAATCGCATTTTAGTCTAAAATGACAAAATCGCAATAATAAATGCACGCAATAATTTCTGAATTTACAGTATTTAGGCTACACAATGCAATGACCCAAAACTGTCCAGTAAGAAATTTAATATTATATAAAAGATTTACTAAAACTTTATCAACTTGTTTGAATTCAACATAGATTTTCAAAAACTCCAAAAAACTTATATAGTAATTAATAAAGGTGAACATACATTGAAAAAAGATGGATTAACAAAATGAAATTACAAAAACACACTACATGTATATCAAAAATATCTTACCCATTATGATCTCTGAAGTTTGGATCCACACCATATTTGATTAAAGTTTGACAAATGTATGCATGTCCTCCCAACGCTGCCCTAAAATGAGAGACAAAACACAACATCATCTACCTATAGTAGGCAATTTCTAGTAGTTGTTGTCATTTGAGGGGAAAAGTCATCTTTTTTTACTTTTACAACAAAGAGAAGCACATATTTTAGAAGTTAAGGTGGCTGACTCAGTTTAGATAAAGGGTAATACTAAGCAAAGTAAGATTTGACCTCAAAATTTTGATTCAAGCACAAGAACAAGCAATTATGGACACTGTCACATCACTGACCTTGACAGTGAGTAATTTACTGAAAAATTTAATACTCTTCGCACTACCGTTCCAATTTCTTGTCATGCAATAAATTTAACATGTATTTAGATAAAGTGTAACGATGTAAGCATCAATTTTTGTACTTTTCCTAGAAGGGCTTTGATTACAAATAATTCTCTGTTGGATACTCAATTCTATTCTCAACATTCTCTTAATATTTTGTTATCCAAAAATCAATGCCACCAATGTAAATGCAAATGATGTCTATGTCTTTATACAAGGGAAAAATGTATTTTCGCTATTCTTTTCTAATGTTCACTTTGCTCAAAAGCAGACTTTTAAATTGCTAAATTTTAATACAGGTAGCCCACTTTAAATTACACATAAGTTCTGAGAACAGCATAATTAACTCACCAGTGTAAAGAAGATCTGCCATCATGGTCCAAAACATCAACCCGAGCACCATAATCTATGAGAGTCTGAACCACATCTGTGTGGCCCATTTCACAGGCCCTAAATAATGGCGTGTGTTTGAGAAGGTCTGGAGCATCAATCAATGCACCATGGTCCAGTAATATCTTGACTGTTGAAGCATGACCAGAAAGTGCTGCAGCATGTAATGCTGAAAAGGAAATATACAAATTCAAGAATCTAATGCATTCTGGGTAATATTTTCAAAAGTGTTACCCAAAAGATAAGACCTAAAAAGTTTTACCCAACCAAATGTTAATGCGCCTATTAAAAGTCGAGAACCTGTCTGTTGGTTATAATAAAGCTATATGTCATGTTAGTCTTTTTGTACGAAAGACTTTTGGTGTTGATGATAGACCCTTGGTAGTCTCTTCTTAAAATATATTCACAGCTTGTCTAGATTCAACATGGTGACATTTGCATGTCTTTTAGATTTTTAGTGTTGTTGGATTGCTGTATTATTGATAAATACCTAACATATTCTTTTATTCATATAAGTATCAAAGTACTAACCAGTGCCACCATTTTTATCAACTTGTTGAATATCTACATCAGACCGTAAGAAAACTGTGACCACATCATCAGCACCTTTCCCTCCCGCCCACATAAACGCTGACCTTCCTTCCACATCTGGTTCATCTACTACTATCTTGTATGTCAGGAACACAGCTACTGTATCCTAAAATTGATCCATCAACTAATGAATACAAATATAATTGAATTTCTATAGGCCATGATTCACTGGATGTAGAAGGAGTTGGCTTATTTTCCAAGGCAAATCTAAATTCACACCCCTTTTTGAGGGGATTTGATTTGTTAAATATTCATTTTTCTGTTAAAATATTTTTAGTTGTTTCTAACTATCTTATAGCATTTGGTAAAATTTTCTTTACCAACTTCTTTTTCCCATTGTGTTGTATATCCTACATTGACTTGTTTCCATGTTTGATTGCTCTTCTACACACTTGTCTTTGCTTTTCGTCCCCCTCGTCTCCTTTTATTTACAATACATGATATGACAATAATGAACAAATACTGAATGATAATTTTGAGTAACAAATGAAGTGATGTTGAATCATTAATGATATCATTGCTAAAGCTAATAATATGTAACTTACAGAATGATTATTTTGAGCAGCATAGTGAAGGGGCGTGGCACCATTTGCGTCTGCAGAGGCGTAATCTCCACCATTGTCTAATAGCAAGGAAACAATTCCTGAGTGACCTGTAACAAACATACAAAATTCAATAATAGTTAAATATGTTTAGGGTCAGGGTCAAGAGCCTTTAAATATTGTTAAAGACAAGAGTGCACACGCTGAAATGTCTCGCCTTCTTTACTAATCATTGATATTATGTTGTTAATAGTCCTAAATATAAAGCTTTACTACAACTATCACATACACTTGACATGATCCAAGAAAATGAGGTCAAGGTCATATAAACCAAACAAGAAATACATGTACACCTTACAATCATTCAATACACTAAATATAGTTGACCTATTGTTTATAGTTTCTAAGATACAGACTTAACCAAGAAAACTAAACATTGACCAATGAACCATGAAAATGAGGTCAAGGTCAGATGAACCATGCCAGGCAGACATGTACAGCTTGCAATCCTTCCATACAACAAATATAGTTGACCTATATTGCTTATAGTATTAGAAAAACAGACCAAAACACAAAAACTTAACACTGAGCAATGAACCGTGAAAATGAGGTCAAGGTCAAATAAAACCTGCAAGACTGACATTAACATCATAAAATATTTCCATACACCAAATATAGATGACCTATTGCATATAGTATTAGAAAAAAAGACCAAAACTCAAAAACTTAACTTTGACCACTGAACCATGAAAATAAGGTCAAGGTCAGATGACACATGCCAGCTAGACATGTACACCTTACAATCATTCCATACACCAAATATAGTAGACCTATTGCATACAGTATAAGAAAAACAGACGAAAACACAAAAACTTAACTATAACCACTGAACCATGAAAATGAGGTCAAGGTCAGATGACACTTGCCAGTTGGACATGTACACCTTACAGTCCTTCCATACACCGAATATGCTAGACCTATTGCTTCTAGTATCTGAGATATGGACTTGACCACCAAAACTTAACCTTGTTCACTGATCCATGAAACGAGGTCAAGGTCAGGTGAAAACTGTCTGACGGGCATGAGGACCTTGCAAGGTACGCACATACCAAATATAGTTATCTTATTACTCATAATAAGAGAAAATTAACATTACAAAAAATCTTAACTTTTTTTTCAAGTAGTCACTAAACCATGAAAATGAGGTCAAGGACAATGGACATGTGACAGATGGAAACTTCGTAACATAAGGCATCTATATACAAAGTATGAAGCATCCAGGTCTTCCACCTTCTGAAATATAAAGCTTTGAAGAAGTTAGCTAACGCCCCCGCCGCCAGATCACTATCCCTATGTCGAGCTTTCTGCGACAAAAGTCGCAGGCTCGACAATAAACCTTTGAAACATGGATGTGTCTTGATTTTAAATAATTTTGATTGTATATAAATGCAAATGTTGAATCAAAAATCAAAATGGCAATATTTAAATATGTAAACCATGCAAAACATCCAAAGCCAATAGACCTTGACTGAGGAGATGTAGCCAAATAATCTCCATGGAAATGAGATTTGCCACTGCTAATACAACTGCATAGCAATTATCATTAAACTACCACTAGTGGTTCCCCTTAAACTGACCTTATCATAAAATTAATATATTGACGAGGCTGTAGATGCTGGAAATAGCATGTTAGAGTCTCACTTTTTGACCTCTTCGGGAAGAGACAATAAACAGTGTCTAACATATAGTGCAAAGCTTACTTTGATGATTAAAACAAGAATGTGTACATAGTACATGGATGCCCAACTCCAATATCATTTTCTATGTTCAGTGAACCGTGAAATCGGGGTCAAAACTCTAATTTGGCATTAAAATTAGAAAAATCATATCATAGGGAACATGTGTACTAAGTTTCAAGTTGATTGGACTTCAACTTCATTCAAAAACTACCTTGACCAAAAACTTTAACCTGAAGCGGGACAGACGGACGAACGAACGGACGGATGGACAGACGGAAAAAAGGACGGATGCATAGACCAAAAAACATAATGCCCCTAGGTGGGGCATAAAAAAAAAACACCATCATATTTGTACCTGGCAGAGCAATGCAAAAAATTCCAGAGATTTTGAATGAAAATCTATAGTAAGATTAGGTTTTTTGTATGTGCAACTTCCCAATTTGCAATATACAATGCAATGGATTTTGAGTTTGTGTCTTCAAAACCTGAATAAACAAACGGAATATTTGTTTTTGTAGTGTCCAGATTTTATTTTTGATTTTTCAATTAATGTAGCAATATTCATCAGACAAATAATTCCAATGGTCTTAAGGAAAGATGAAAACTTTGAGGACAGTTTAATTCTGTGAATTTTCAATCATCAGTAAATGAATGGTTTAAATGAAAATGTACCTGAAATATCACAAATCAGATGTTTTACACACAATGTGTGAAAACATGAGTTTCCACAAAATATGGCTTTTTTTTTTGGTCATTTAACAGAATATTTACATTTCTGTTGCCCTTATTTCCCTTTGATTGTAAGCTATGTAAAGACAACAGTAAATAAAACTTTCCTAAAATTTAATAGATCAAATAATTTCAAACTTGGGGAAAAACATATGGGTTCCAACAAAATGTAACTCTTTTTTTTTTCCTTTTGTCATTTGACAAAATATTTGCATTTTATATTGCAGTTATTTCTCTTTGACTGTAAGCTTATAGCCAATTTTAATGAAAAAGTACTTAAATTTCACAGATCAAACGACTTTAAACAAAAACATTGGAAAACATAAGTTCCAAAAAGATTTTTTGTTTACATTTGACAAAATATTTCATATCTTATTGCAGTTATTTCCCTTTGATTTTAAGCTATGTCAAGAAAGCAGTAAATAAAAATGTACGATCAGCTTACTTTACAAACATAAAGTATGAAAACATGTGTTTCCACAAATTTAAATTCTTTGTTTTTGTCATTTGGCAGATTTTGTCAATTTTTATTGCAGTTATTTCCCTTTGACTGCAACCTATGCAAAGACAACATTAGAAACTGAAACCATCAACCTACTCACTATTCCTAAAACCAGTGTTAAGCTTCTTACCTAAAACTGCAGCCCAATGTAGAGGTGTTCTAAACATATTATCTAAAGCTGATATATTACTGTTTACAACAGAAATCTGAAATATAGTTTTCAAATCATTATAATTGTATTTTTCTTTCATACAATTCGAATTCTTTCATTGGGTTATTATTATCTCATGGGAATAATAATTTAAAGGATATTTAGATTTTTTTATATTCTATTGTCATTTTGTACTGATACAAATAAAAAGAACTAAAACATCTTATATTGCAAAAAAAATCTTGATTCATGTGTCAGAGATATAACAAATCCTTTACAGTTTGTGTTGTCAATACATATATTTCTTATTCTAAAACTGATTAATGTACAAAAGTTACTAATCTTTTTTTATGTACAGGGATGTCTTTTTTTACCCTTTCTGATGTGGTATTTGCATTAACATATATGACGTTTGAATAACCCATCACAGAGAAGCTTGAATTGTACTGTTTTTGTTAACATCTTGATAGCAAAGATATAATGAAATTTGGAATGTTTAAAATAACCACCTCTCTTGAGGGCTGTTCAGAAAATACTATGCCCCCCCCCGGGACGGCACTTTTTTTTAACCCCCACCACCCACAAAAATAAAAATAAATTAGAACAGCACTCCCTTTGCATTTTGGTATTTCAAATACAACCACCGACATAATATTAAAATAAAATGCTCCGCTGGGCGCAGCTTGATACGACCGCAGAGGTTGGGGCAAGTATGGACACAACATTCAAGCTTGATACAGCACTGAATTTGGATTGTGATTAAATATTTGACACAGCATAGGTTTCTAACACAGAATGAATGTGGTCTAAGAACTTAAAAATTTTTAATTTACCTATTCAAACCATATCATTATTATTTGCTTTGATATATAAATCAGAAATAACCAATTTAAAATGGAAAATTTTAAAGAAAAAAAAATCCCTCCCCTAAACTTTTATGGTACCTTGCAGTACAATTTCAGAGAGATTCATACACTTGAACACAAGTTATTGTCTGGAAACTAGAAAAATACTTGTTTTTAGGCCCCTTTTTGGCCCCAAATTCCTAAACGTTTAGGGCAATTACCCCCAAACTCAAACCAAGCTTTCCTTTTGTGATATGGAACCTTGTAGTACAATTTCATAAAAATCCATACACTTACACACAAGTTATTGTCCTGAAACTAGAAAAATGCTTGTTTTTTGCCCCTTTTTTGCCCGTAATTCCTAAAATTTTGAGGCAATTACCCCCAAAATCAATCCCAGCCTTCCCTTTGTGGTATGGTACCTTGCAGTACAATTTCAGAGAGATCATACACTTGAACACAAGTTATTGTCTGGAAACTAGAAAAATGCTATTTTTGGCCCCTTATTCCTAAATGTTTTGGGCAATTACCCTCAAACTCAAACCAAGCTTTCCCTTTGTGATATGGAACCTTGTAGTTCAATTTCAGAAAGTTCCATTCACTTACACACAAGTTATTATCATGAAACTAGAAAAATGCTTGTTTTTTGCCCCTTTTTTGGCCCCTAATTCCTAAAATTTTGAGGCAATTACCCCCAAAAACAATCCCAGCATTCCCTTTGTGATATGGAACCTTGTGGTACAATGTCAGAGAGATCCATACAATAACACACAAGTTATGTCTGGAAGTTACAAAAATGCTTATTTTTGGCCCCTAATTCCTTAACTGTTGGTACCATAACCCCCAAAATCAATCCCAACCTTCCTTTTGTGGTATTGAACCTTATGGTAAAATTTCATGGAGATCCATTCACTTAAACTAAAGTTAGAGTGCGAAAACCAATGTGTCTTCGGATGACGACGACGCCAACGTCATACCAATATACGACCAAATTTTTTTTTATTTTTGCGGTCATATAAAAAATTGCCTTCCCTGGGGGGGACATAGTATTTTCTGGAACAGCCCTGATAATTCAGTGTAATTAAACAGATAAATCATGCTTGGGAGGAATATTTGCAAAAAAATCTAAATTTTGAGAAGAAAATTCACCTTCTTTCTACTAGTATTTTATGCAAATATTCCTCATGGAGATGATATATCTTTTCAATGCCTAAATACATCTTGACCTAGTAGCTGACTATGCCGTATGGGTTTTGCTCATTGTTGAAGGCCATAAGGTGACCTATAATTGTTAATATCTATGTCATTTGGTCTCATGTGGAGAGTTGTCTCATCAACATTCATACCACATCTTCTTATTTTTTTATACTAACCATCCATAGTAATTTTCCTGCATGTACATTCAAAGATCCCTAGATTTCCTTTTCTAGACCAATCCTTTCAATTAAATAGGCAGTCTTAAAAGATGAATACAGTTAATTGTTCAATAAAAATCAGCCTGAAAAAAGCTGACTACAGACTTACTAGCACTTTGACAATGGATTCATTCCCATCAGCCACTGCTAAATGTAAAGCTGTTCTCCCTTCATAATCTGGCCAATTTATAACAGTCGGTGTCGTTTCCTAAAAATATAGCAAAATTGAAAATCTATGTTGGGAATGCATCTACTATGATAGCTACATGCAAGATATTTTCTATTTGTACTTCAGGTAATGAGAAAAGAATGAAATTTATTTTTAAATTTTTTATATTGTAAGTCTAAGCATGACTTTCATCCAAATGGTTGAAAGAGAAAAAGATGAAATGATAAAATAGTACGGTCGCCTATAATTGCTTACATCCACTTTATTTGATCTTTGGTGGATAGTTGTCTCATTGGGAATCATACCTCATCTCCTTATTTTTATACAGAACATTTCATAGACCCAAAAGATTGAGAAATATCAACCCCTTCAAAAATGGAGGATGATCTGGGTTGATCCATAAGGTCAGCTGCTTCTGCTCAACTTAATGAAACCTGTTATGCTACTCATGTTAAAATGCAATGACATCTGCGACAAGCTAAGGCATCATACAATGGCAGATTGGTAGATGTCTCTTGTATACCCTTAAGACATTTCCAAATTTATCAACAATCAGTACTTTAAAGCTCATCAATGTTACAATTTTGAATGCCTTTACTTTCTGTTGTAAAGTACCTTTATTAACACAATATAAGTTTCATAAATTGTGAGAGAAACAATGGTTAGCACTGTTTTTCTAGTTGCAGACTTTTACATGCAATAATCTAATGAAAAACTTTGCATTTCGTAATTATAAATATAAGGTAAACTTTGCATTTCGTAATTATAAATATAAGGTATCAAAATTTGTGGTGATCATTAACTTACCCCACAAATCAAAGAACTTTTGACAGTTATATACCAACCATTTATATAAAATCAAAGAAAGGGTCTTGGATCTTATCACAAGCAAAAAACTGTAATTCGTGCAATTGCAAAAATAATACTTTTACACATTTTCAACAGCCAAATGGAAGTTAAATTATTTTCTCTAAATTTTCAATATAAATAAATTTGAGTATTGTATGTCATGTATGTAAAGATATCCAATGTATGGCAGAGAAAAATATTAAAATAAATGGAGAATGTGTCTATGAGACACAGATGATGGATGCCCCTACTTCCATATGATATAGCGTTATAAATGGGCATAACTCGAGAACAGTAAATGTGACACCACCCAAATTCAAACTTGATCTGTATTTTGTGGTAACTAGATATCATTGAGATGGGAGCCATCTCTGTGGGCCCCGCTGTGAATAATGTGTGGTAAAAAATTTGTATCTTTATCATTGGACATGGGGTTGTCAAATGAAACCAAAGTTTTTGACCTTGACCATTGACCTAGGAAGTTGTACATAAATTATGACACATCCTCTGGTGTTCTGGTGTTGGTTTATATACATATCAAGTATAAACTTTGAAATCATAACGGTTCTCAAGATATAGAGCGGACACAATCTTTACCATAGGACATGTGGTTGTCAACTAAAACCAAAGTTTTTGACCTTGACCTTTGACCTAGGAAGTTGTACATACATTATGACACACCCTCTGGTGTTGGTTAATATATTTCTATGTTCAATGGACCGTGATATTGGGGTCAAAACTCTAATTTGGCATTAAAATTTGAAAGATCATATCATAGGGAACATGTGTACTAAGTTTCAAGTTGATTGGACTTCAACATCATCAAAAACTACCTTGACCAAAAGCTTTAACCAAAAACTTTAACCTGATGCAGGACAGACGGACGAATGGACGGACGGAGGAATGGACAAACAGACGCACAGATTGAAAAACATAATGCCCCAAGGTGGGGCATAAAAACTTTAACCTGAAGTGGGACAGATGGACGAATGGATGCACAGACTGAAAAACATAATGCCACTAGGTGGTGCATAAAAAAACAATTTTGGGACGTACATATGGACCTAAGTATGGATGGACGTACAGATAAGGGTAACACTTTATGCCCCTTCGGTGACGGCGGGGGCATACAAAATTCAGGATTTCCAAAAATAAATACCATTTTACCCTTCATTCAGATAATGGTTGATGATTCTAATGTTTTATCTTACAAAACACTTACCAATATAAGTCTGACACAACTAGGAGCTTCTGGATCCATACAGCTAGCTGCCCAATGTAAAGGAGTTTTACCCTCAATATCAGGTATACCTATGTTTGAATCCTGTAAATAGAAAATTATAAAAAATTAAGAATTTTTTTTAAAGATTTTAACTAACAAGCAGTTTTAGATTGACACTTGTAACAATATTGAGCAAAAGAAAAAATAACAATGCAGACAAGAATTACTTAGCTTCATCAATAAGCCTTATCAGTGGTTGTTGTTGGTTGCTATCTATCTTTAATTTGTTTGTGTATTTTTTTTTGGTAAATTAATCAGGCAGTTTTTTTTTTTGCGTTGGTCATAAGTGTGATGGATTACATAAACTATATTTTCAATGTTTTCGTGTTTACAAGTCGATGTAGAAGTCAATATGTTTGTAAGAAGCATCTTTTAAGGTTTTTAAGTAAATCGTCTAAAAGTATGTAGCAAAATCAAATAGGATAATCACTTATTTAGTATGAACCTGTAACAAAGACATAGTACATAATATGAAATATATTCTTGTACTTCAATTGTTGCAAACACTGATTAAAGAGATATACGTAGGTATAGATGAACTTTCATATTAGCACTGCAGGGTGATATTCAAACAGTATATGGTTATCAATAATCCTTATTTGTTTGGTAAACAGGCTTATTCCAGAATGATAGTTCTTTTAAATTTTTTTTCTATTTCAACCATACACAAACATATCATCTGAAATGCTGTAAGCGTTTTATGGACAATAATGAATGTAAACATATAAATTAACTTATAAAAAAATCAATTTCTCATAATGATAGCACATCTGCAGATTTTAAACTAGCAATCACATTTTATATAGACCATCACATTTCGGCAAAAACCATTGCCAATCGCACAATGAATTTCCATGAAATACTCAACACTCAGTTCCAGTAATTTCTTCATTGCAAAAATTCATCAATTACAAGTGCCTATGCGATGTTATTTACCAGTATGTAAATCTAGTCAGTTTTGCTACACTATCTTCTGTTTTGAAGTGTAACTTTAACATTCCTCTCCCATCTTACCTGCTTAATTAAAAGTTTTACATGTTCCACATTGCCATAGGAAGCTGCCCAGTGTAAAGCTGTCCTCTGAAAGGAAATAAAAAAGAGCATTATATTCAAACACATTTTTCAAACTCATAGTTAACTAATTATTCTATGTATTGTACATTTAATATTTATGAAATTCATATTTAACTCTCATGTAATTTACACATGAAATACTTCATATCCATCTCCTACGATTTTCTTTTTTAATTTAATTTCATAAGTAAAATTGTTGTGTTTCAAGTAAAATGTGCAGTTTACTCAATACATCAGTACACTGAATATTGCTCTTTTTAATTGGCATCCAATTGACCATTCCTTCTGATAACAAACTTTATACAGAACATGGTCCTAACCAGCAAATTTACTGTACACAATGTATTGCAATATATGATATTTAAATGAGGGCGATTCCATTTAAATATATCATGGATATGTGGGAGAGGGGGAAGGGATTTGTTATTTGTTTGTATGGGTTGAGGGTCATTTGATGTATACAAACTTTTAAAAAAAAGAATGCTGGATGTTCGGCAAGCAAATATCACTTAATCAAAGAAAGTATGATGGTTGTGTTTGTGTGTGTGTGGGGGGGGGGGGATTTGTAATTGAAGATCACCCCTGGTTTTGGTTGGGTTTGTGTTTCTTAGTATTAGTTTTGTGTGTAGTGTTTTGTCGATAGTTGTCTCTTCGTTTTATTGCCATGGAGTTATCGGTTTCTCTTGAACTTATAAATTTACATTGTAGCTTCAGTATCACTTGCTTCTTTTTTTTTTATTAGTACAGTAGCATTACTGAACAGTTAAATAAAGTAACAAAACATGTGATTTGGAGTACCTGTTGATATATCTATATCATGTATATCTTTTCATTGTTAACAACATCATTTTCTACATGGAATTGAAATTCATGTATTTCAAATTAATTTCAGGGGACAAAATATTTCTCTCAAAATTTTTCTTTTAATCATCACATTTACAAGTTTTAAACATTTCAAATTAAATAAAATGCTCCGCAGGGCGCAGCTTGATACGACCGCAGAGGTCGAACCCTGAACAGTTGGGGCAAGTATGGACACAACATTCAAGCTTGATACAGCTGAGAATTTGGATTGTGATTAAATATTTGACACAGCATAGGTTTCTGACACAGAATGAATGTGGTCTAAGAACTTAAAAATTTTAAATTGGACATTCACCTATTATGGTCCAATATCCAAAATCTAAATACATGGTTAGATTCAGCATAACAAAGAACCCCAAGAATTCAATTTTTGATGAAATCAAACAAAGTTTAATTTTGAACCCCGATTTGGACCAACTTGAAAACTGGGCCCATAATCAAAAATCTAAATACATGTTTAGATTCAGCATATCAAAGAACCCTAAAAATTCAATTTTTGTTAAAATCAAACTAAGTTTAATTTTGGACCCTTTGGACCTTAATGTAGACCAATTTGAAAATGGAACCAAAAATTAAGAATCTAAATACACGGTTAGATTCGGCATATCAAAGAACCCCAATAATTCAATTTTTGATGAAATCAAACAAAGTTAAATTTTGGACCCTTTTGACCTCAATGTGGACAAAGTTGATAACGGGGCCCAAAAATCAAAAATCTAAATACATGGTTAGATTCAGCATATCAAAGAACCCCATATATTCAATTTTTGTTGAAATCAAACAAAGTTTAATTTTGGACCCCGATTTGGACCAACTTGAAAACTGGGCCCATAATCAAAAATCGAAATACATGTTTAGATTCAGCATATCAAAGAACCCTAAAAATTCAATTTTTGTTAAAATCAAACTAAGTTTAATTTTGGACCCTTTGGACCTTAATGTAGACCAATTTGAAAACGGAACCAAAAATTAAGAATCTAAATACACGGTTAGATTCAGCATATCAAAGAACCCCAATAATTCAATTTTTGATGAAATCAAACAAAGTTAAATTTTGGACCCTTTGGACCTCAATGTGGACCAATTTAATAACGGGGCCCAAAATCCAAAAACTTAATACATGGTTAGATTCAGCATATTAAAGAACCCAAAGAATTCAAGAATAAAACCCCATTGAAATTGATCAAGAAATATAAAGCAATTTATACGAAGTATCTTCTTTTGCACAATACTGTGCAATTGAATATTTCTTGCTATTGCGCAATACTGTACAATTGACAATTTCTTGCTATTGCGCAATATTGTGCTATTGGATATTTCTTGCTATTGCGCAATACTGTGCAATTGAAGATTTCTTGCTATTGCGCAATACTGTGCAATTGAAGATTTCTTGCTATTGTGCAATACTGTGCAATTGAAAATTTCTTGCTATTGCACAATACTTATTAGATAATAATTTACACATCCTGTTTGGTGTGTATCTCCTACCATATCATTATTATTTGCTTTTAAATATTAATCAGAAATAACCAACTTAAAATGGAAAATTTTAAAAGAAAAAAAAAAGGAAAAAAAGAAAAAAAAAAGAAAAAAAAAAATCCCCCCCCAAATTTTTTGAACCCCCTTATGATTCATCACCCCCAAACTCAATCCCAGCCTTCCCTTTGTGGTATGGTACCTTGCAGTACAATTTCAGTGAGATCCATACACTTGAACACAAGTTATTGTCTGGAAACTAGAAAAATGCTTATTTTTGGCCCCTTTTTGGCCCCCAATTCCTAAACGTTTCGGGGAATTACCCCCAAACTCAATTCCAGCTTTCCCTTTGTGATATGGAACCTTGTAGTACAATTTCAGAAATATCCAAACACTTACACACAAGTTATTGTCATGAAACTAGAAAAATGCTTGTTTTTTGCCCCTTTTTTGGCCCCTAATTCCTAAAATTTTGAGGCAATTACCCCCAAAATCAATTACAGCCTTTCCTTTGTGATATGGAACCTTGTGGTACAATGTCAGAGAGATCCATACACTTACACACAAGTTATTGTCTGGAAGTTACAAAAATGCTTATTTTTGGCCCCTTTTTGGCCCCTAATTCCTTAACTGTTGGTACCATAACCCCCAAAATCAATCCCAACCTTCCTTTCGTGGTATTGAACCTTATGGTAAAATTTCATGGAGATCCATTCACTTAAACTAAAGTTAGAGTGCGAAAACCAATGTGTCTTCGGACGACGCCGGATGACGCCAGACGACGACGACGCCAACGTCATTCCAATATACGACCAAAAAATTTTTAATTTTTGCGGTCGTATAAAAAGAAAACATTTTCAAATAAGCTTCATCAGAGTTGAAGTTTAAGATGAAATTCTTGTTAAGTTAGTTTACCCTTTCCTGACAGCAGTTGTAACACTAATTAATTTCCTAAGTTGAAAAAATACAAAGTCAGCCTATTTTGAGGTCTATTTCCTTGTTCAGATATTCAGCTACAATTGGCATCTAATCATCTAGCAAAGAATTTTGTTCAAACCAGTGCTAGGCCAATTTTAGGCTTACAGTGATGCGAATGTGTGCGCAGTGTTAAAAGTTTCACATTGTATTTTAAGATGAAAATCTGCAATAAAAATGCTCTTCCTATACTTTTACTTTTTTTCAAGTATTTGTCATGAATTAATACACTTTTTTCTTGATTTTTTGTAATGAATTAAAACATTGTATTCTTTCTTTTTTTCCTTATGAGCCACCCTGTTTTAATCAAAAGAATAACAGATAAAAATTTAGCATACTGTTTTCTTGTCATACCTTTTTCTTGTCCTGATCATCAATTTCCCCTGGGGACAGTTGCCGTAGTAACAAATTCATGCATTTTGTAGATTTATGTCGTGTACACAGATGGAGAACTGTTTGACCTTCATTATCTTTCTGTTTGATGTCAGCCCCCTTGGATAATAATAACTTCAGCAATCGATTATTGCCCTGTAATAAAAAAAAAAACATTATATAATATATGATAAGGCCAAAAATAAAATTTAGATTGTTTGATGTTGCCTACCTACCCACCTAAAAAGCAGCCTACATGAAATATTTTATGGCACAAATAGGTTCATTTTCTTTTTAAATGATTTTTCCTGCTCTAAGGTTGTTTTCTTGTCTAAAACATGTGACTAATGTTGTCAGCCAAAAACAAAAAAAATCCCTACCTACCTACCCAACCCTACAAGGCATGGGTAGGCAACATCAAACAAAGAATTTTTAAGGGTGGCCTAATTAAGTTGACTATTACTTATTAAAGAACTGTTAGAACCTGCAAAAAATTCATAAGTAATGCACAACATGATCCATTAAAAGACAAGGATGTAAATATTTGTTTGTGTTTAATGCCACTTTCAGCAACATTTGCTATATCAAGGGGGCATGTTTTTATTGGTAGAGGAGGCCCAAAGACCCTCGTCAGGATAATTGTCAGTTCTTGTCAATTAAGATCGGTTAGAACTCCAAACCTCAAAGCTGACAGGCTAGAGATTCATGTAAATGCTCTTCTAAGACTACTTGGCCACCAAAGATGTAATCAAAGCGCGAAAGCGCTGTAAAGGCAGTTAATTACAGGTTGTGTGTATTTTTGGTCCAGTTATATCATTATCTTGCATAGTACATTGTACTTATCAGAGGTGGCTTTCAGTATTTAAGATTTAGAGTTCTCTAATGATATTGAACAAGTTTTATGAATGTCATATTCTGAGCACTATATGAAGGCGATTGTTCTCACTTGTTTATGAACTAGTGCATTATGTCCACTTTGTACCTTTTTTTATCTATGTTTATAGTCAAATACTGTTTAAAATAGTTTGGCATTTTCTTTTTAGTAATAAGTAAATGTTATCAACTGTATTTTATTCAACTTCGCAAACATGGTTTGTTACTGGTAGGTACAATGTATGGATGATAGTTGTTTCATTGGCAATCATAACACATCTCCTTATTTATATAAAATGATCTATATTCAACGACCTCAGGTACAAAAAAAATGTATGTAACTAAACTATGATGGGAAACCTTTGACTTCTTTCTTTTATATAAACTTTTGATTTGGTACCATAGAACTATGTAGAATAAATGTACATTGCAACATGTCAACTCTTTCAATGACAATAATTTTTTTAGAAACTATAACTCCAAGCAAAATTATATTTCCAAGTATAAAGTAATTTATGAATGAAACAAGAGTGCACACGCTGAAATGTCTCGCCATCTTTACTAATCATTGATATTATGTTGATAGTCCTAAATATAAAGCTTTATTACAACTGTCACATAAACTAAGCATTAACCAAGTAAACTAAACATTGACCAATGAACCAAGAAAATGATGTCAAGGTCAGATGAACCATGCTAGGCAGGCATGTACAGCTAACAATTCTTCCATACAACAAATATAGTTGACCTATTGCTTATAGTTTAAGAAAAACAGACCAAAACACAAAAACTTAAAACTGAGCAATGAACCTTGAAAATGAGGTCAAGGTAAAAAAAAACCTGCGTGACTGACAAATAGATCATAAAATATTTCCATACACCAAATATAGTTGAACTATTGCATATAGTATTAGAAAAAAAGACCAAAACTCAAAAACTTAACTTTGACCACTGAACCATGAAAATGAGGTCAAGTCAGATGACACCTGCCAGTTAGACATGTACACCTTACAATCATTCCATACACCAAATATAGTAGACCTATTGCATACAGTATAAGAAAAACAGACCAAAACACAAAAACTTAACTATAACCACTGAACCATGAAAATGAGGTCAAGGTCAGATAACACCTGCCAGTTGGACAGTCCTTCCATACACCGAATATACTAGACCTATTGCTTATAGTATCTGAGATATGGACTTGACCACCAAAACTTAAACTTGTTCACTGATCCATGAAATGAGGTCAAGGTCAAGTGAACTGTCTGACGGGCATGAGGACCTTGCAAGGTACGCACATACCAAATATAGTTATCCTATTACTTATAATAAGAGAGAATTTAACATTACAAAAAATCTCAACTTTTTTTTCAAGTAGTCACTGAACCATGAAAATGAGGTCAAGAACATTGAACATGTGACTGACGGAAACTTCGTAACATGAGGCATCCATATACAAAGTATGAAGCATCCAGACCTTCCACCTTTTAAAATATAAAGCTTTTAAGAAGTTAGCTAACGCCGCCGCCGGATCACTATCCCTGTCGAGCTTTCTGCGTTAAGTCACAGGCTCGACAAAAAGGAGTTCTTAATTAAGAAATAAACTGATTCGCTGAGTGCAGCTGGATACACCTGCAGAGGTCCAACCCTGAACAGTTGGGGCAAAAATGGATACAATATTCAAGCTTGATACAAGTCTGAATTTGGATTGTAATTAAATATTTGACATATTATAGTTTCTGAATAAATGTAGTCAAAGAACTTGAAATTGGTTATATGAATTGAATTTATATTCAATTAAAGATTTCTTGCTGTTGTGCAATACACTGTGCTGTTGCGCAATACTTAATAAATCTGTTGCCAGACTATAAACAAATAAAGTTCAATTTCTTCTCAATGTCATATTTGAAATTTAGGAAAATCAATAGGGAGATTACATCAATAGCTATAAATAATTCACCAAAGTTTCATGCGAACTGCTTAAAGCATTTTTGAGTTGTTGTCCAAAAACTGGAAAATCCCCCCCTTTTTTAATGAATAAAACCCCACAACTCAGAAATGTAAAATCTAAAATTTATAAAATTCTAAAGGGAGCTTACGGATTGATAATTTAGTCTTAGATGCAAGATTTTTTTATCAGTTGTTAGTGGCTTTGAACTAGCTGTCAGTAAATGCGAGTACTCTCAGATCTGTACTTAGTGTCTTTTTGTTGTTTGGATGTACAACTACCTGGCCACGTCCACTTGTATTTGTATTTATCCATCTGATGAGTTAAGCCTCTTTCAACTGATTTATTATCGTTCGTTCTTATATTGTACTGTTACACCACTGTCCCAGGTTAGGGGGTGGGTTGGGATCCCGCTAACATGTTTAACCCCGCCACATTCTGTATGTACGCGTATGTGCCTGTCCCAAGTCAGGAGCCTGTAATTCAGTGGTTGTTGTTTGTTGATGTGTTGCATATTTGTTATTTGTTCATTTTTTGTACATAAATTAGGCCGTTAGTTTTCTTGTTTGAATTGTTTTAATACATTGTCATTTCGGGGCCTTTTATAGCTCACTGTGTGGTATGTGCTTTGCTCATTGTTGAAGGCCGTACTGTGACCTATAGCTGTTAATTTCTGTGTCATTTGGTCTCTTGTGGAGAGTTGTCTCATTGGCAATCATACCACATCTTCTTTTTTATATTTACATCAACAGATATAAACAATTCACCAAAGTCAAACTTAGTTGTAAGATCTCTGAAATTTTTTACACGGTACAAGTTTTTCTAATTGTTGGAGATTGTACGGTGACAGTAACACCTGTAACTGCTTAACCCATTTCTTATGCACTTTGGGTTGATAAACTCACTGAATATCATACCACATCTCCTTATTTTTATATGCATTACAATTTACATGTGCATGTAATTGTAAATAATATATATATATATATATCAGAACAAACTTCATTGTGTCACTTTTATTTATGCATCCTTTGGCACAATACAAGTTCTAAAATTACACAACATAAAACAACTAAATGTTATTTCAGATGAAAGTTTTGTTTCAGTTCCATTCATAGGATTTATTAGAATTTTGTATGTTTTGCCAAGTCCAATAATTAGCTCTATGTGCACGTGTTAATTGGAGACTTTTCTATCCCGTATAAGAGTTTTGGAACTAATTCTGTTTCTTTTTTTGAAAAAAGTGAGCAAACAAATCTTGCACATTTAAACCTTTATCTGCCATCACACTGTCACCTGGATCACATAATTGAACTATTCTACATCTTTCAACTATTTCACAGTCACTGGCCATGGTACAACCAACATATATGCATTAGAGACATAGTTGACTAAACCACCAGGTGTCGAACATACAAGTATTTTCAGTGTTTCTGTTTTTATATGATGAAAAGGTTGCCTGAGCTCTAGGAGCTTTAGGTTTTATCACGGGATATTCTGTGCTGTCAATAATAATCCAAGTTGTAGGAAACTTTAATTTGAAGTTGGATGGCGAAAAATACCTGACTAAACCACTTAATGACCAAGTGTTAGCCTCACGCCACTGTTTAGACATAAAAACAATCCATGTTTACACAATATTCTTAACACTAGTTTCAATCTAGAATCTAGACAGTTCAAAGTTGGTTGTATAATGCCTCAATTTCATCAAAGTCATAAAAAAACTGATTTTCAAATGACACCCTATCAATTTGAAAATATGTGTATCTCAAACAATGTGCTGCTGGACCAAGTGTGGTGAAAACAAATAAAAATTTAGTATACAACTCTAAACCGGTATAAAAATGCATGGCTGTGTCACGTGTCTTCATTTCAAAATTCTCTGCTGAAAATATAGGCATTGATGGTGTTTGCGTAATTCCATCTGTGAAGCTCAACATTAGCTCGGCAGTTGGTGGTGGACAGTCATAAATCCTGTCTGCAGTATGAATGACTTCTTCAGGAAAACCAACTTTACAATCAAAACTTTCCTCTAGATTTCTACTACAATATTCATCAAGTTTAGTTCTTTTGTTTTCACAGGAAACTGCCCTGATTTTTCTTTTTGCGGACGATTCAGTCTCTTGCTTAATCCAGGAAAATAGGCTGGGAATGGCAGTAGACTTAAGTCTCTGTATGGTGGCCATGGGTTTGCGCCCTGAAAAAGGTTATAAAACATTAGTTTTTTGATAATTAAATGAACTTCCATTAGCAATGCATACTTTGTACTACCTGGCAAAATATTAACTAGATTTATTCATTACAATCTGGATAAAACTATGTTAGCCTGAATCAATGTACATCAAAATGTATGTTATGTAAATCCAAAGTAAGTAAGTAAGTAAGTAAAACTTTATTTTGATTCGGCATATTGACAAACATACAAACATAAGCTCTAATGAGGACAAACAATGAGAGACGTATGCAACAAACATACATTGTTTGTACCTAAATAACTATAATATAGATGAGAGCATGTCATTGTTTTGTTCCTGTTAACATTGTCATTGATATTTTTCAAGAAAGTCTATGAGGCATAGCTTATGCATTCCTGTCATTACTACATTAGCATAATTACTGCTAAAATAATTCTCAGTATGATATACCTCTTGTAAGAAATCATTATAATTGTAGCAAGCACCAAAAAATCTCAAACAGATCACATTGAATCATAATCCAAACAAGAGTGCACACGCTGAAATGTCTCGCCTTCTTTACTAATCATTGATATTATGTTGATAGTCCTAAATATAAAGCTTTATTACAACTGTCACATAAACTTAACATTAACCAAGTAAACTAAACATTAACCAATGAACCATGAAAATGAGGTCAAGGTCAGATGAACCATGCTAGGCAGGCATGTACAGCTAACAATTCTTCCATACAACAAATATAGTTGACCTATTGCTTATAGTTTAAGAAAAACAGACGAAAACACAAAAACTTAACACTGAGCAATGAACCTTGAAAATGAGGTCAAGGTCAAATAAAACCTGCGTGACTGACATATAGATCATAAAATATTTCCATACACCAAATATAGTTGAACTATTGCATATAGTATTAGAAAAAAAGACCAAAACTCAAAAACTTAACTTTGACCACTGAACCATGAAAATGAGGTCAAGGTAAGATGACACCTGCCAGCTAGACATGTACACCTTACAATCATTCCATACACCAAATATAGCTGACCTATTGCATGAAGTATTAGAAAGAAAGACCAAAACTCAAAAACTTAACTTTGACCACTGAACCATGAAAATGAGGTCAAGGTCAGATGACACCTGCCAGCTAGACATGTACACCTTACAATCATTCCATACACCAAATATAGTAGACCTATTGCATACAGTATAAGAAAAACAGACCAAAACACAAAAACTTAACTATAACCACTGAACCATGAAAATGAGGTCAAGGTCAGATGACACCTGCCAGTTGGACATGTACACCTTACAGTCCTTCCATACACCGAATATACTAGACCTATTGCTTATAGTATCTGAGATATGGACTTGACCACGAAAACTTAACCTTGTTCACTGATCCATGAAATGAGGTCGAGGTCAAGTGAAAACTGTCTGACGGGCATGAGGACCTTGCAAGGTACGCACATACCAAATATAGTTATCCTATTACTTATAATAAGAGAGAATTTAACATTACAAAAAATCTGAATTTTTTTTCAAGTAGTCACTGAACCATGAAAATGAGGTCAAGGACATTGGACATGTGACTGACGGAAACTTCGTAACATGAGGCATCCATATACAAAGTATGAAGCATCCAGGTCTTCCATCTTCTAAAATATAAAGCTTTTAAGAAGTTAGCTAACGCCGCCGCCGCCGCCGTAGCCGCCGGATCGCTATCCCTATGTCGAGCTTTCTGCGACAAAAGTCGCAGGCTCGACAAAAATTATGACGTCTTGAATTAACCACCCCCATTTATTCTAAAACGATAATTGCGGTTGTAAACAAACTTTGGTTTATTCGCATGGCGATTACATATATAACTATATATTTTAAAAAGAAAATAGAGTTTTACCATGAATAGTTTCCTGCACGTAGTCTTTTTCAGTAAAATGTGCCTTGCAAACAACAGCTGATTGAGATGGACTCCACGATTTCATCGTGTTCTCGTCCAATCTGCGTATGGGCCATGGCGTTGATCCAATTTTTCCTTCTTTTTAAGTCATTTGGAAATGCATGTCCTCCTCTTAAATGACATCCAGGTACACAACAACATGTACTTGGCATCGCTAATTAAAAATGCAACTGTAATAGTTGCACAGTGCAGAAACCGGAAGTTGAAGAACAGGATCGGCTACCACGGCGCCACCTATTCAGGAACGATAATTTGCTACTTTATATAACCGCGAAATAACAATTACGTTAGACGGGTTCGCGTGCATAAACAGAAATGCGCTTTAAATTGTATAATATAATTCATGTTCAGTCGACCATTAATTATTATATCAACGACTGAAATGATTTATAAACATCTAGATTGCAGATAACACTCGAAATTAACCCGACCTCTTTCCACATGGAATTCAAATAATTCTAGTTTGTCAATCGGTTGACTGCTTATAATGTAAAATACAAATATATCAAAAGTTTTTAAAACTAACAAAACACAATGATCGTTTCTCTATTTCCCAATGTAAATGAAATGAAACAAAAAACATTTTATATCACAATAAGAAGAGGAGAGAATCAACATTTTCCGGATCTACTTGGAGCCTAATGACCCCCCACGTAGATAAGTTGGATATCGCGGAAAGAAAGATTAACACGGCAACTAGAAAGGCATTAAAGCACTGCCTTTAAAAACAAAAGTAATATAAAATTCTTCATATTTCAATAATGTAAACAAACTCATTTTCACCAGTGATCATTTAAAAACAATTTGACAGAAAGCCTTTAAACAATTTAAGTTGCCATATAAAGTAAGGCAAGTATATCATATAAAGAAGAGACAGATCTCCCCTTTTTAAACACATTTATATCATATCCTAATTACATGTATGTGCAATATATTACCTGACGAAGCAGTCCAAACACATTCTAGTCTACTTACTTTATGAGCTGCCCAATGTAGTGCTGTTCTACCTCCTTTGTCAGATCTATTAACCTGGGTACCTGCTCGCAATAACAGCTCAGCACAATCCAGTCTATCAGCCAACACACAGAACATGAGAGGAGTCCGCCCAAACTGATCACCTGTATCTAATTCCTGAGTACTTGCTAAAATGGAACAAATAAAGCATTAATATTATTATTCTCAACATTTAAATAGCAAAGCAGGCCGAAAATTGATGTTGATTGTAGATTATGTTAGGGAATATGGCAGGAAAATCTCTAAAACCTTGAGAAAAACAAAACAAATGAGAGTCACTGTTACCATATCAAGGATAGACAGAGGTACAATAGTAGTATTAGCAAAATACTTGATGTTTAAAATTGAGCTAAATTCATATACAAAGATCCTACTGATAGAGATAAAAAAAGTTGGTGAGTTTAAATCTGTAAAATACAAGTTTAGCCCTGCCATACTTTATTGAGAATTTCACAATTCATGATTATAATCTTTGGTTCTTAATGCCTAATTTCCTAATGGAGCTTTGGTGTTGATAGCAGGTCCTTGTTAGTTGATAGTCTGTTAATTTTAAACATAATTTTTCTTCATAGGGTGATACAAAGTTAAGTTTAAGCATATTCTTTTGTTCAAAATTAAAGGATAAATGGATCAGACACATATTTTCCAACTACGTAATGTTTCCTTCCTATTGTTGAAGACTATATGTTGAGCTTTAAATGTTTTTTAATTGTTTTCTGTCTTTGGTTGCTGTCTCATTGACATATACCCCCACATCTCCTTTTATTCATAAGACAACTTAAATGACCTACAGACTATTTGTTTGGCAAGTAAGGCTTTATCTCCATTGACAGCAGCCACATGCATCTGTGTGACTCCTTCCAACTCCTGCTCAATCTCGGCAACATTATCCATCCCACCATTCTCCATCTAGGAATGAAAATTAAAATACAACTTAAAATTGTATAAGATGATAAGGGAAGGTTTAGAAATAAATGAAAGGTGTTCTGAAGGCAGTTGTTATTCCACCCCACCATGCATACAATTTTTTTTAAATTAAAAGAATATTTTCTATAATGGTTTTGGCTATCTTTTTAAAATGATCACCACCAATTAATTTTTCTAAAGAAGTGACTTCAACCCACTCCCCCTCTTTTCTCTCCTGCAACACCTCTAATAGGTTTAATCATGAATACTAAATTTTTTTCTGTTCATCATGTTCATTGTAAAATCCTTCATTTGTACTTTTGTTTATGATAATTTGGATCTCATTTCTAAAGTGTAACCATACTTAACACAAACTGCACAAAACGCTACACCCTGACACCTGTGATTTGTGCTAAAATTGAACAGATAAATAGATACTGAACATTTGATATGAATTATATATGTTCTGGTAACAACAAATCTAGCTCTGATCAACTGTCTTAAAGGAAATACTTGATCATCTGCAGATAATGTTGAAATAATTGATATCAGACATGTCAAACTCAATATCAATATCATTGCACAGGGACCTAATATAATCATGATAACATAAATAAGGTCCAAGTATTGCATACTACGTTTTTAAAATCATATGTTCTATAAATAATAATTCTAAAAGTAAAAGCTAAAGATGATATCATATATATATGATAGTTATCAAAGGGAAGGAAGGTGTCTTTATATTGATTGATGATTGCTTAAAGTCGTGTCAGCAGGGAAAGGCCAGATTTCACCAAGTCAGTTCAACCAAGTGGAATTGGTGTAGCACAAGCTGAATCAAAAATAAATTACAATTTCAGAAACATACCATCCTGTATGTGTTATCTCTACAATAATAATGGATACCTTTTTTCTCTTTCTTGCATAAAAACGTCAATATTTCACAGCCTGACAGGGAAATGATTTTAGCCAAGAAAATTTCTTTGATAATATTTGCTCCATGACTATTGATTGTAGAGAATATTTAATAAGTTACATTAGTTCAAAAGAAAATATTGAATACTTTCATGCTAATATATTGATCTCATCCGTCTTAAACATATATATGAGTGTCAAATAAATAATATACACTGTAACAAAATTAATATACATATATATGCATGATATATTTATATTTAAAATTTTACATAGTTAAAAGACAATGGCACACGCCAGTAAGGCTCTAACAACTGAACGTTGGCCAAAACGGCCATTACGTAACCAAATATTGACTATTTTTTGCATTTACACAAAACAGGAATTACTGATTGTCAAGAGATATAGGTGTCAAAGTACGTTTAAAGATTGCCAATTATAATAAGACGTATGTGCATTGTCCGTATTTAATATCTCTATATCTTCCTTCATCAGATCATTGTCAGCGAGGTTTTGTCAAATTCAAGATTTAAAATTAAGATAATAATCTTGGTGTCTTTTAATTTATACAACCCACCTTAAACTTAAGACCTAACATGACTAAAAAAGCATGAACAAGTTGTATTTCAATATCGTAGTTTATATTATATGTATATATAGAATTGTGTAACATGTAGATGTAACTTTGTGAGGACCATTGTCCTAAGTGCCTCAGAAATTTAATTTTGGAAGATTTTTCAAACTTTTCTTCTGAAGAGTTTGTTTATGATATGTCATTGAATATTTTATCTAAGTTACACAACAGTTTTTCATCGTCATTCATAGAATGTTAACAAAACTCTGTCTTGCTTTTATTTGTTTTTGAACATTCAAAGATCATTAACCAAAGGTCTACATATCAATGATCTTTTCATTGGCTTGTTTTTTTTTTTAAATTTTAGTCATAAGTTTGGAGGGTGGTGAAAGGTTATTTTGCATGCATCATGCTAAGCAGTTTATGGAAGGTGTTTTTCACAGAAAGACTGTTCTTCATTGGTTGCAACCATGAAAAACATCCCTAACTTTTTATCATACTTAAAGCAGCTTTCATAGTTTTGACCTTTTTACCACATATGTGCATGTGTAAAATAATCTTATAAAAGATTATTCAATTACATGTAAGTCTAAAATCTTGGCCTATCGATAATCATTACAAGACTGATCCTTTATTTTCATATTTACCTGTGTCTTTATGCCCCCCCCCCCACCCTCCCCCATCACTTATTTAATCTTATCTAATATTTACCTGTGTCACCCCGGGGCCATCTGCCCCCATCACCGATGTCATCTCATTTCCTGTAACCTATAAAAACAAATAAATCTTATTATTCATCTTGAAGTTAAAAATGTTCTCTGAAACAATTAATATTTACTTTTCTACCACAATTATATAACATGTTTTTTTCTCTTTACTGTTTCATATATATACAGGGATCATCCCTTAATCATGTTAATAGGGGAAAAGTTCAGTTCTCACAAAATAATTCTAACATTGACTTTACTTGGCTCGTGTATTTGTATGTATCAAGGAATTTAGTGTTCGTCTCTTTTAAATTCATACACATGTGACATGATAAACACTTTAACTAGGCTCTAGCAGTTTATATGTTCAATTAAATCATGAAAATGGTATAGACAGAGAATTGCAAATTGCTGAAGACGGTATGCTTAATTCGAGATAATTTTAGTATTGTCATGTTGAGTTTTTGTCTCATCGACGCATACACCCCATCTGTCTTTTTTCATATAAAAATTCTGAAGAGAATCTAACCTTCTGTATGTGCCTGTCCCAAGTCAGGAGCCTGTAATTCAGTGGTTGTTGCTTGTTGCTGTATATCATATTTGTTTTTCGTTTATTGTTTTGTACATAAATCATGCTGTTAATTTTCTTGTTTGAATTGTCATGATTGTTTTACATTTGTCATTTAACTTGGACCTTTTATAATATAGCTTACTATGGGGTATGAGTTGTTTATTTCTACCTCATGTGGTCTCTGGTGGAGAGTGGTCTCATTGGCAATCATATCACATCTTCTTATTTTTAGATTCATAATTAAGGGGAAAAGGCGTGCTGTTTCTATTGCATTTATTTTTTATTCATTCTTAATTTAACATTTCTTAAATTGATTTTTTTTTTTATGTATTGTATCGCTTTATTTCTCAGACAAGCCTAACTCAATATGTTTTCTAACAAGGTCATACAAAATGCAAAGAGTGTGTCTTTATTTAGTTATAAAATTATCTAACTACATATAAACAAAAGAACAAAAATGACCTTAAAAACCCATAACAACTTTTATTGATGTTATTCACATATCTCTTAAGAAACTAAATATTAGTCAAGTTCATTTAAATTTTTCCAATAAATGTTTTTATGAAGTCAAGTAGAAAGAGATACGTTTATTTAATATAGAGTCAATATTTAAACATTGTGCCTTTGTTAATAAACAAACAAGACCATTCATTAATGATCTGGGTCAATATTTATACAGCTTTAACATAAGTTACAGCCCAAAAGAAAAGTTTAATTAAGCAGGTCCAATATATTTTCAGACTCCAACTCAACCTTCAGTATTAATAATTCCTTAGATAACCATACATGTCATATATAATTATAATCAACAAGGGATACCATCATGTGTACATGCCGATTATTTTAAGATTCTTAATACATGTAAATAAATTTAAAACATATTTTTTTTTCAATTTCATTCTTTTTCAACAGTTACCAAATGGTTAGGGGGATGACACGCTTTTGGGATGTGGAGTATGTATGATATAGGGGTAAGGGGTAAAAAAAAAAGTGGGATCTGGGAAAAAGAAGGGAGGGAGGGGGAAATTTTAAAAAAAAAGCAGGATTGGGAAATGAGCACCCTCGTGTCACCCCACTCAACAGTATGAAACCTTTGTCAGATACCAGAAATAAACCTTCCAATGAAATCTGCATTCCACGCAAAACAAAACACAATCTCGTAAACGTGACTATCATCAATTGAAATAATTGTTTTTGTCGCTATACTGACCAATGCCTACAGCATATACGGGCCCCCATGGGTATCATCTGCCCAATGACCAGTATTTCAATACTGACATACACGACATAATTAAGCTTATATACAATTTGTCTGTAATTTTCAGTTTAAATGTTTACGAGCTTATGTAGTATTTTTATTTGTATGGTATAGGTGCAGAAATTCCTAACCGGGGTTGCTGTCTCATATATTCATCATCTCCAATTATCAATATCTTCATACTATTATGTGAAACAGCAACATCAGATTCATAACTCATGCAATTTCTTATTATAATATTCTTTAGAAAAATCAGTGGGGGATCCAGAACTTTTTATACGGGGGGCCCACTGACTGACATAAGAGGGGCACTGCTCCAGTCATGCTTCAGTGATTCCCTATATAATCAACCAAATTTTTCCCACAAAAGGCCCCCCCCCACTCCCCGGATCCGAAAATGCCCACAAATATCAAATATAAGATCTACAGAGTAAAGCAAAACTATTTTCTCTTCATGTCATTTAGAAAGTCCTCTTTAGACATGCAGGAAGGCAAAGAATGACCATTTTGCTTCATTGTTACAAATACTGTATTAGTAATCAAACCATTTCATCAACTGTTCTGTAAATATAGGTTCTACATGAACAACATGCACAGAAAAGTTCTACCATCTCCATAACTTTCCACAGGAAGTGAAGGCATCTTGCTACCTCAGCAGCAAATATATACCTATTTCCAAATGGTTATTATTCAGAGCTATTTCAATTTGTCTTCATATTTAAAGTTTATATTGCTACAAATTTTTGCAAGCATTTACCAATTAACTTACCAACTTTTCATAAAAAACTCATTAAACTTCTGAAATTTTACATTACATATAATTTGCAGATGTCTTATATGAAACAGACTTTAATAAGATCAGCTAAAAATAGAACACTGATGAAAGCTGTGTAGATGATAAACAAAAATAGACAGGAAGCAATCATCATATTTTTATCTATATTGTACCAGCAAATAACACCCACATCAACTGTAAACTGTTTAATTAACCTGAAATTAAGGAAATCAGTTCATGAATTTCTAAAAGTTGGTTCTTTCCTTAAATCATCTCAGAAAGTTTATCTACAGCAGCTCATATAAACCTTCTTTTTTTTATTGAATTGTTGAAATATTCTATTAAAAAAAACATAAAAATTAAATTGTTTAATACAAGAAAATTTCACTATTTTTTTTTTCTTTCCTTAGACTAACAAGCATGCAGATCAATATTTTCACTTATTGTACATGTCCTGGTGGCAGAATTGGATTTCACTTTTTTTTTTTAATTCTAAAACATCAAATTTTTTAAATTTCTTATCACTGCATGGTCACAAATATAATGTTTTAATTAACTTCCACGCTCAAGTGACATATCTAAATCTAATGGAATAAAATAAAGGATAATAAAATGCTCCGCAGTGCGCAGCTTGATACGACCGCAGAGGTCGAACCCTGAACAGTTGGGGCAAGTATGGACACAACATTCAAGCTTGATACAGCTTTGCATTTGGATTGTGATTAAATATTTGACACAGCATAGGTTTCTGACACAGAATGAATGTGGTCTAAGAACTTAAAAATTTTAAATTGGACATTCATCTATTATGGTCCAATATCCAAAATCTAAATACATGGTTAGATTCAGCATATCAAAGAACCCCAAGAATTCAATTTTTGATGAAATCAAACAAAGTTTAATTTTGGACCCTTTTGACCTCAATGTGGACAAAGTTGATAACGGGGCCCAAAAATCAAAAATCTAAATACATGGTTAGATTCAGCATATCAGAGAACCCCATATATTCAATTTTTGTTGAAATCAAACAAAGTTTAATTTTGGACCCCGATTTGGACCAACTTGAAAACTGGGCCCATAATCAAAAATCTAAATACATATTTAGATTCAGCATATCAAAGAACCATAAGAATTCAATTTTTGTTAAAATCAAACTAAGTTTAATTTTGGACCCTTTGGACCTTAATGTAGACCAATTTGAAAACGGAACCAAAAATTAAGAATATAAATACACGGTTAGATTCTGCATATCAAAGAACCCCAATAATTCAATTTTTGATGAAATCAAACAAAGTTTAATTTTGGACCCTTTGGACCCCATTGTGGACCAATTTAAAAACGGGGCCCAAAATCCAAAAACTAAATACACGGTTAGATTCAGCATATTAAAGAACCCCAAGAATTCAAGAATAAAACCCCATTGAAATTGGTCAAGAAATAAGCAATTTATACAAAGTATCTTCTTTTGCACAATACTGTGCAATTAAATATTTCTTGCTATTGCGCAATACTGTACAATTGACAATTTCTTGCTATTGCGCAATATTGTGCTATTGGATATTTCTTGCTATTGCGCAATACTGTGCAATTGAAGATTTCTTGCTATTGCGCAATACTGTGCAATTGAAGATTTCTTGCTATTGTGCAATATTGTGCAATTGAAAATTTCTTGCTATTGCACAATACTTATTATATAATAATTTACACATCCTGTTTGGTGTGTATCTCCTACCATATCATTATTATTTGCTTTTAAATATAAATCAGAAATAACCAACTAAAATTGAAAATTTTAAAAGAAAAAAAAAAGGAAAAAAAAAAAAATCCCCCCCCCCCAATTTTTTGAACCCCCTTATGATTCATCACCTCCAAACTCAATCCCAGCCTTCCCTTTGTGGTATGGTACCTTGCAGTACAATTTCAGAGAGATCCATACACTTGAACACAAGTTATTGTCTGGAAACTAGAAAAATGTGTTTTTGGCCCCTTTTTGGCCCCAAATTCCTAAACGTTTCGGCAATTACCCCCAAACTCAATTCCAGCTTTCCCTTTGTGATATGGAACCTTGTAGTACAATTTCAGAAAGATCCATACACTTACACACAAGTTATTGTCATGAAACTAGAAAAATGCTTGTTTTTTGCCCCTTTTTTGGCCCCTAATTCCTAAAATTTTGAGGCAATTACCCCCAAAATCAATCCCAGCATTCCTTTTGTGATATGGAACCATGTGGTACAATGTCACAGAGATCCATACACTAACATACAAGTTATGTCTGGAAGTTACAAAAATGCTTATTTTTGGCCCCTTTTTTGGCCCCTAATTCCTTAACTGTTGGTACCATAACCCCCAAAATCAATCCCACCTTTCTTTTGTGGTATTGAACCTTGTGGTAAAATTTCATAGAGATCCGTTCACTTAAACTAAAGTTAGAGTGCGAAAACCAATGTGTCTTCG